AGAAATAATGGCTAAAAATTTAGCAAATGGTATATAAACTTACAGATTCAAAAAGCTGGGTGGACCCCAAACAGAATAAACCCAAAGAAATACACTCTAAGACACATCATAAACAGACTTTGACAACTCAACACAAAGAAAACTTTAGAGCAGCTGGAGAGAAACAATGCCTTACATGCGAGGAAAAAAAAATCTTGAATTACAGCATAATTCTCATTGGAAACTATGGAGGCCAGGAGTGACTCACACATTTTTCAAGCACCAAAGGAAAAGAACTTTCAACCCCAAGTCATATGAGCTCTTGCATATCCAGCAAAAATATCCTTCAATAATGAAAGGGGAATCGACACATTTTCAGATGAGGAAAAGTTAAGAAAATTTATCACCAGCAGACTTGCCCTAAATGAATGGCTAAAGGAAATTCTCTCAACAGAAAGGAAATGATAAAAACAATCTTGGAACATTGATGAAGAAAAAACAAACAATGGAAAGAACAAATATATCAGTAAATATAATTTCCTTCTCTTGAGTCTCCTAAATTACGTTTGATGGTTGAAGCAAAAATTATGACATGTCTGATGTGGTTCTAAGTGTATGTAGGGGAAATATTTAAGACAATTTTCAATGAGGGAGGGCAAAGGGATGTAAAGGAAGGTAAGGCTTCTACACTCAAACTGACAAAATGAGGATACCAATAGATTGAGAAGTCTATCTAATGTAATACCCAGGCAACCACTAAAAAAGCTGTACAAAGATATAAACTCAAAAACACTATATATGGGGCAGGCCCATGGCTCACTCGGGAGAGTGTGGTGCTGATAACACCAAGGCCATGGGTTCGGATCCCATATAGGGATGGCCGGTTCGCTCACTGGGTGAGCGTGGTGCTGACAACACCAAGTTAAGGGTTAAGATCCCCTTACCAGTCATCTTTAAAAAAAAAAAAAAAAACACTATATATGAATAAAAATAAAAAATTTTAATATATTCAAGTAACCCATAGTAAGTCAGTGGGAAAAAAGCTTAGAAATGAGGGCTGGCCAGTTAGCTCAGTTGGATAGAGTGTGGTGCTGATAACACCAAGATCCAGGGTTCAATCCCTGTACCCGCCAGCCACACACAAAAAAAAAAGGAAAGAAAGAAATGGGAAACTTAAGTCCTAACATATTAATAATTACATTAAATGTAAATGATGTAGTTACAGTTGAATCTTGAACACAGGGAAGTTAGGAGTTCCAACCCCCTGCACAGTAGAAAATCTGTGTATAACTTTTGACTACCCCCAAACTTAACTATTTAACAACTGCTTAAGTAAGGTGTGCACTTTCCCTCAGGTCACAGCTGTGCCACTGGGGCGGGGGGGGGGGGGGGGGGGGGGGGGGGGGGGGGGGGGG